GCTTCTTCCACTCACTTCCTTCTCTTCTCCCTTCTCCTCCTCCACCTCCCACTTCAAATGCACATCATCATCATCATCATCATCCAGGAGCCTTCTACATACACACCTCAAAGTAAGTGAACTTTTCTACCATTTTTGTTGAATTTAGGCAATTTTCGGTGAGCTGGAACCAATTACCCAAAAACCCATTGAAAGAATGGTTTCGGTTAACGAATTTTTCGGTTAACGAACAACCTGCTGGAACGGATTGTGTTCGTTAACCGAGGGACCACTGTATAGACAAACTAAAGCCTAATAAGTCACCAGGTCCCGATGAGATATTTGCCAGAGTATTAAAGGAATGTAAGGAAGTGCTTAGTATGCCCTGAGCAAAGTTATTTAACATGTACAGTAAAACCCCGCTTTACGCCGTTTCACTTAACGCATTTCCACGTTTACACGGTACCCTGCCGAACACAGAATGCTCACTTTACGCGGTGCATGTACTCTTTTACGCAGAGTGGGGCGCGGGCAGGGTGCGCACAAGGTAGCCCAGTCATCAAAACATTACCGAGTTCTTGATCCGCCACCCACCACAGCCGGCCCATGTCAATGATAGTGATAATGATAGAAAGGATATGGACTTATATGGACTTTGAGGGGTTTGACAAGGTGGCCCTGCTAGCCTCTGTGGTGGATAGTGATACAGGCGAGGGCCAATAATCTACCACTCTGCCTTGGAACCCCCCCCCCCATCCCCTTGTGCCCAGCCATCTCTTCTACTAACGTAAGTGTTAAAAAAAAACCCTAATATTATTGATGTCTCTTAAATATTAATTGTGTGTGCACACCATCATAAAATTAAGATGTTATTTTTACTACAACGTCCGTATTGTGTCGGAAAAAGGGTAGTCTGGCGGTCGGCCCAGTCTCTATTTCAATTAATCCCATACGTTCTGTTAGTTTATTTACGTGTTTTGCGTTATACGCGGACCTCCGTGGGTTAAATTAGCCGCGTAAACCCAGACTATACTGTCAGTGTACATTTACTGCATTTATTTTTAATTTGTATGTAATTTTCAGTGAGCTGGAACCAATTACCCAAAATCCCATTGAAACAATGGTTTCGGTTAACGAACGACCTTCTGGAACGAATTGTGTTCGTTAACCGAGGGACCACTGTATAGTGAAAGTGGCTAGATTATGGTTGAAAATTGCTAAAATGCCTTAAATGCAGGACAAGAAAAACAAATGCTACAGTGTAAAAAAAGCCATAAGAAAAAATGGTGTACTTTCAACATTTCATTTATGGCTGTAATAACACTAAATACAAAAAATCATAAAAATGCGCGTGGCTGAAGAACAAAGAAAGCAGTACATGGCACTACATGCTCGCCCAAAAACTACTAGCAGCTAAGTTGACATGTCCGGGAAAATACTAACATATGGCAACCCTAAACATAGGTAGAGGTTAAGGTAACCTTCACATCACCAAAACTTACAAGACTGACAAACTTACCTGGATAACACACACACACACACACACACACACACCTTTTTCACTTTAACATTATATCAGTAATACAAAAAAAAATTTGCTTGCAGGTCCATCAGCCAATCACAGCCACGACTCAATTCTGAACCGGTGAATATTACCACCACCAGTGTCAATACAACCTGGTAAATTATTAATCATTCATTGCCACAGACAAGAAAGTGTTTGATGCCTGACAATATGGTAGGTAATACATGTCATTCACACACTTGTAAATAACTGAAAACTTCATAATGATAGTGTCATCACATCCATTAGTCAATATCATACAGAACCCTGGTTATCAGTTGAACCACGAGGAAGGATAACACTCCCAGGAAGGTTCACCCAACACTGATCAAGGGAGATTCTCAGCCACTTGTCACCTCATTTAACACTCACAGATGTAAGTTAACAACAATATAACAAAATGGTGAAGGTTCAAACCCACCTGCCTGAAGGAACTTGTGGTGTCAGCTATCAAGTACCTGCAGGTGAACAGACTGCCTAACTAACCAGAGTGTAGATAACATGTTCAAGTTGTAACCTAACTCTTATTATAATTATTACAGGTTTCTCTTAAAATACTGTACTGTACATAGATATACATTATTCTATATCTAAATGTGTAAGTCATGCACAATTTTAAAACTATACATACAAGATATTAAGTGTACTACAGGAAAATAAAATAAAACAAAAAACAGCAACATGAAGCACATGTTACCACGTGGTCCAGTTGCCAGCTGTTAATAAATTTTTTGAGAACAATCTAACATCTTACCAGGCAAGTTTTATTTAATTAAATGTAAGTAAAAAGTAAGGTAGCTTCTTTAATATCATAATAAAAGCACACTTGTTAATGACATAAGCTGGAGATAATAAAGTGAAAGTTTAGCACATGGCAGTACAGTACCCAGTGGTGGTGAGGTGACCTTGAGACAAGCAGACTCAGTTTTTGTTCACCCTGACTATTAAACTTCAGGGCATGACTTCAACCTTCCCACAAGACTCCACAATGTTCTATCCTTCAAAGCATACTACACTACTCCTGACCCACAAAATCATTTGCAAATAAGAATGTAGCTAACTTCTGAAAACAATATAATACAATTAATTCAGTATTGTATATTGTGCAATGTTAAATTTCCTCAAGGTACCTGTCTGAGCTATTATCTTCAGTGTGTATCTATCACCTGTTACAGTACACTGGGTAAGTTTAAGTTTCACAAGCCAACCAGGAGCCCTCATAGTACACACCCCTACTCTCTATCCTCTGATTGGCTAACCCCACACACCCTCCACCACACAAGAGGTGCCTCCTTGTTATCTCCACTTGTTTTCATTATCACAAATGATAATGATGGAGTTTACATAATTCTATTCCTTAACTTCTACAATATAAATTCAATAAAGAAGTTGAAAATTTCATAAGAACATAGGAAATCTGCAATAGGCCGGTTGGCCTGTGCATGGCAGCTCCTGTGGAGAGTTACTACCACTCTATCATCCATGAATCTATCTAGCCTCCTTTTGAAACTTTCCAGCATTCCAGCACTTACTACAAAGGTGCTAAGCTTGTTCCACTCGTCCACCACCCTATTTGTGAACCAGTTCCTTCCTATCTCCCTCCTAAACCTAGACTTATCCAACTTAAATCCGTTGCTCCGAGTCCTATCCTGCTCGGATATTATAAGAACTTTATATCCCTTTATTGATTCCTTTCACCCACTTAAACACTTCTATCATATCTCCCCGCACTCTTCGTCTTTCTAGGGAATGCAAGTTTAGTTTCTTTAACCTATCCTGATAT